AAACGGTGTGACTATTCAACCGTTCTAAAAGACGATTTTATTACATTTTAAGCAGAAAATAGTTACTCGTATTTACTTTAAATGTTTGATTTTATTAAGTATTTGATTATGACTTTATATAATGTGTAAACTGATAATTTGCAATGCTATGACAGGATTTTAATTACATTTAATTGCATCGCAATTTTTAATCTTGAATGCATTTCCTGTAGTGATTTCCTTATCAAGAAATGTAGTTTGTATAGAAAACCAAATTTTATATAGATATTTGTTCTGCTATATTGACGCCAGGAAGTCCTTTGTAAATCTAAATTGAAGTTCCATTTTTCTACTTTTTTATCTCCTTTTACCAATCGCTCTTAAGGCACAGTACCTGACGATACAGTGACAATCTGTGCTTGATTATAAATTCTATTCGATCCAATAGGGATCGTTATCTGTTCGCATAGAATACTTGTATGTATGAGCGCATAAAACAGTGTACTTTGTCACATCCTTTAAATATTCCTTTGTATAAATGAAGTTACATGGATAATATATAAATATTGATTTAATGATGCACTGGAATATGCAGTGGCAGTCTGGAGCGCTGCTTTTTGCAGCAAATAACTTGTTATATTGACTAGTACGATTCTAAAATCCGTCCATGGGGTAAGATATGGCTATATAGATGAGATGGACTGATAGTCTTTCCTCATAAAACTAAAAGCTGACATACCCGCGAAGTTATGAGAAAGTTCAGAGTGGCAATGAAAATGTGAGAAGAGGTCAGATAACCCCAAGTTCCAAATTTTATAAATGCATAGGCTTGGTACTTTATTACACTCTGAATAGTGTAACGAAGTTTGTAACTTCCAGATGCAAGCGTCGGAGGCCCTAAAAAATGTATGTATATATACATATGTATATATGCATATACTTGTATAGGTACATAATTTATCAGGTTCACGAGCTGAGTCGATTTAACCATATTACCGTTTATCCGCCTCTATATACGCGAAGTAGTCGCTCAATTCGTGAGATATTGATCTGGAATTTTGCACACGTTCTTTTCTCCCTAAGGAGCTACACATTTTTTGGAACCGCCTATATCGGACCAATATATCATATAGCTGCCATACAAACTGAACTCTTAAAATGAAGTCCTTGTATTGAAAACTTTTGTATTTGACGAAATATCTTCACACTATTTGTTTTGAGACTGATCACAAGAGAGGATCGCCCTTAGACCGATTATGATCAGTTTTTGTGAAGCCACAAAAAAAAAGTGTCCAATACATTTTTTTCTTGATCTCGCAAATGCGGGACATTCTAAAAGAAAATGTTAAGATGTTTCTGACTCGTCTTTTAACCTTTTTTACGATTTTTAAACTTACTGCAAGGAGATCAATAGAAAATTTACACGTTATGACCGCTAAAATCAGGGAAAGCTGAGAGCGAAAAGCTCGCCAGTGTTTTTTTTCAGTAAGTAAAAATGTTTGAATTGAAAATGATGTTTATATTTGAAGTACACCTAAAATATCTGAAATAATTTTTTTTTTGGGAAATATTTCTCCGCTTATTTATTTCTAATATGTATGTAATCAAACAGCTATATTATCTCGCTCGAATTATTTTAAATCTTTCCATTCGTTATTTGACTAGATTTTGAAATGTCAATCATAAACATACTTTTTTTTCTTCAAAGTTTTTTAAAAATCAAAGAAATATTGTCTACAGAATAACTGTAAAGTAAATACTATCCTCAAATGATATTTAAAAACTGTCAGCATCAGATCGCTTCTAAATTTTTTAATAACTAAAATCTCATGCTTGCATATTATATGCTCTGCATGTACCTATATAATACCAATTTTGACATTTTAGAATGCAAAAATTTTATAATTTCCTGCGCTTCAAAAACTTTCTGACAAATTATTTTTATATATACTACAAAATACTAAGTCTAAGATTTCGACTTACATTTAAATGTATGTACAAGTATGTGCACATACATGCAAGTATATCGTCGACAGTCGCAAACAATCAGGCTACCTTGTCAGTTGCAATTGCACCGTATTTGCCGTTGCATGTTAGCACGATGTTGCACGAGAGTCATGGCCATGTACTTCTGATTTCATTATTTTTTTTATATATTTTTTTTGGTATTTTTGTTGTTGCCATTTTCTTGGTTTTAGCATTTTTCAATGCCAGCAACGAAGAATCACACAAGAAGTACACCAACAACAACAACAGCAACCATATGGAGGTGTGTAGTGCCGGCATAAATGAAATATGAAAGCGGTGCCGGTTGCGCCGACGTGCCCTTACGGAGTTACGAAATTGGCTTCAGCACATGCCACTTAGAATGCGAAAGAGTTTTGGTTTCAACTTATATACATACGTATGTACGTGTATGTGTTCACATATTATATAATATATTCACCCAAAGTGTCTAAATCAAAATCGAAAATTTATGATAAGGTCAATGCTGTTATTAAGTATTCCATCTCTCTAGCTTTAAAATATTGATGAAACTTGCTTTATAGTCGTTTCAGTGTGAAAGTACTGTGAGTTGTGCTGTAATAAGCTCAATGCGGGGAAAAAGTAAGTTTAAGCACTTAAACTCTCATAGTTGCAAAACGCAATACTTTTACTTTTATTGAGTATTTCAAATCTATAAGTAATACTTTATAAATATTATTATACATTTTTGATATGCTTTTAAATAAAAAATTATATATTTTGAAAAAAAAATTTAAGTAATTTAGATGTTTAGACTATCTAAAGCAATTAGTGATTATATTGGAGAGTTCTGGTTGAGTGGGTTCAATGTTAAGTCAACTGAGTGTTGTAATAGGTGGCCAAATACTTAAAGTGAGATTAAAAAAATACTTTTATATTCTTTAATTTCTCTAATATAAGGTTAGATAAGATTTTTAATATAAAACTTAAGGCTATTCATGCTTTAGCTGTATTCAGAGTTGTCATATGTAATTTATGTCAATTGTGGAGGTCACTCATACGCCCTGTAGACCATTTTCACCTATGCTAACGAGCAGACGGTAGTTAAGTTTTGTAATCAATTGCCGGTCTAATATGCGCTTGCTTTGCTTTTTTAACTTCGAAAAATGTCAGAAATTAATTAACTAGTGCTAAATTATGTGAAGACTGTACTTCACTTGCTTGAAGCAGTCCAAAATAATAGTCTAAAAGAGTACAGACCCGTAGCAGTATCGCTGGTTAATATCATAATTCAAAGGTATTTTAAACTGAAAAATAACATTTTTTGTATACGTTTTATTTTAATATCTCAAAAAATTACATAAACATCAAATCACAGAGCTGTAGTCGCCGTGGTGTGGCTTTTAAAAATACAAATTATTACTACAATCACTGTTCTTTTCTAGTAGCTGCCGCTCCTCAAAATGTATAGAAAATCATGAAGCACTTTGCAGTTTAAAGTCAGTGTGTTTAAAGCTCATTACAACCACCAATGGCCTTTAAGCACTATACATACATAACAACTGAAATAGAAGCCATGTATGAAATCTTAAACTTTTTTAAGTTTCAAATTTATTTATTATTATTTCATATAAGACGATTCGGCTTGAGTATAAGCTGACTTCGGTGAGCAGGTCAGTAAACTACGTTATAACGCATTGTAAACGAGCCACAAAACGAAACTTTATAAGATATAAGAAACCAAATTTATGGTAGTGCAAACTGAAAAAATCTCTGCAACACTAACCATAAAGGAAATGAAGGATTTATTCGACGGTGTTGGTAAATACATATATTCAATGAATCTTTATCTGACATTAACAAAAATATAAGTCTATACATTTTATTAATTATTACTGTTTCATATTTAGTTTTTAGTTAAAAGTTCATTCAAAATATTTATATGAGGGATGATTTCAGGCAGAGTGTACGCATAAGTTATATAAGCATCAAAAGCTCGAAGATATGATTCTGCTAGTACAAACCAGACACCAAAGTAAAAGTCGAAACAATGGATTTCACCCGATGAACCTGCTCTAAAGCAGGTGAAGACTGTCATATCGGCCGGAAAGGTGATGGTTTGATTTTCTGTGATTCAAAAGGTGTGATCAACATCGATTATCTGGCGAATGAACAATCAAAGGACTCAATTATGCCGAATTATTGGGGCACTGATCGAAAAAACGGTTACATTTGGCGAATGAAAAAGTGCCCTTCCATCTTTTTTTAGGAGATTATCACAGCACCGAAGGCCCTATTTGCAAGTTTCCAAAAAACATATTTTTTAGACGGTTGAAAGCTGGAGTGTCACTGGGTCAAAGATATCGTACTAAAAAGAGACTATAGCTGTTTTCGTTTGGTCATTTCTCTGCTCTTTTGTCCAAAAATTTACATGTGAAAGCAACAAAAAAGTTATCGAGTTGAATTGAAGCAGGAGCGTATACGGATGCCTTATTAAAGTGCTATAACTTCTACATATCTTCAATGCTGTCAAGTTTTGTTTTGCACATTTCATTTGTTTCAGCATCTAATATAGTTTGTTCGATTCGATGGAGAGTAATGCTTGCCGAATCGAAGACAGCTTATATTGAGAAATAAATCCCATTTTTCGTTTTTCTTTTGTAGTCTAAGTACCTGCCTCGTACGTAACCCAAAAATCACTCTTAATACGCCTGCATATGACATATCTCATATACAATAAATATTGCGTAATAATTTCCTAGAACAAACTGGCGTTAGTAGAAACTATCGTTTAATAATTTATCCATCTACTTATCTATATAGACACATCCTGACAGTGAAGCGTAATGAGATTTATTATATTATGCATGCAAACAAATCATTGCTTGTTAATGTGTCTACAATAAAGATGTATGTAAAGTATTATCTTTATATAGGTTAGTGTATTAGTATCCGGAATGTATGTATGTATATATAATTATATATTAGCATATATTCAAAAAGTTTACTTTAAACAAAACCTCATTACATAATTTAAATAATCTCATTATAATTACCGCTTAATGTAAGGCATAGAGTGAAGAGTAGCATGAAAACCGATTTGTGTTGCGACTCCATTGTCCTTATCCCCATCACGACAAGTTTCCGGCAACAAGTTTTGCAATTTCTCGTTGTGTAAAGTGAAGTGAAGTGCTTGCTCACTTGCGCTCGACGACACTGGAGGCTGCCGCTGATAGCTGAGGGCGCCACTTAAAAGTGACTTACACTGTCGGCGTTTAATATGGAAATTCACTGCTATTCTATTCTATTTCCAGTTTCCACTTTTGTTACTATTTTTCTTTTGTCACACGGAGCTGAACAATGTGCTTACGTGTGTGAGTGCTTGTGTGTTTGTGTGAGATAATCAAACGACAAATTGCGCAGAAAAGTCATGTGGATGTCAATTTTTTTTTTTTATTTATGTATATTATACATATGTTTTTATATACATATGTATTAAGTATTTTTATTTACATATGTATGTATGTTAGTACATGTGTTGGTGCGCACAAAGGACGCGTTTATTATATTGTTAAGGTACTAAAAGTAGTTTGTTTGTATTTAAGTTGAGTTCTTTTTTTTTTCTAGGTTATGTTCTGCTGCATAAGTTATATCACAGTAAGGGGAATCAGCAGAAAATTCTTTGTATATAATTTATGGATTTCTTTTTAACTTTTTTACTTAAGAATTTTAATAAATAATTAATTATATTTTTGCTGTTTTATGCTTTTTTATTTGATTTGATTTTTTTTCTTTACTTTTTTTTCTAATTCAAGTGGCACATTTAATAGATTGCACAATTATTTCACACACATCTCTATTTATTATAATTTTATTTATATAGCTGCACAAGTGTCAATTTAAATACAGTAAATCTTATTAAATTACAACAGTGTGCTTGCTATGCATGGAATGCGGTCTTCCACTATTGTTGTGGCTACATTATGGTTGTTGCCTCAACCATCATTGTTGCGTGTCACATATGTGTGTATGCGTGTGTGTGTGTGTAGTTGGTGTTAAATTATTCAATTTCTATAAATTATATGCCACAACAATGCGAACGCAAATGGCGACAGGCAGACAGACATTCCTTTCATACAAATTGTTGTTCATTTGATACTTTTGCTTCTTTTATTACTTTAATTTCCTTTTTTCTGTTTCTCGCACTTCTCTGTATTATTTGATTTTCGTTTTTCTTATACTTGGCATTGATCCTACTCACTGACCGTTCGATTGTTTGTGTTTGTTTTCGTTGCACATTTTAGTTGCAGTTATTTATTTAGTGCCGTTTCAGACAGGGACGCAAAAGAGTCTCATACCAGTTTATTGTGGGCGAGGGGACGACGAGGAAAGACGAAGGGACCGTGCCACTCGTGTTCGGGTGGCACGCTTTGTGTTCTTTTTCGTAACAGCTCGCTGCTACCCTTTTCAGCATTCCTTTTCACTTTCAAATCCTTTGAATGGTTGCAAGAGCGCTCGGTTTCAAATGAATTCGATCGCAAATTTGAGTTCTGTTATCTATTTTTGTATGTAATATGCAAATACGTGTGCATAGAATAATAGAAATATTATGACAAATTGTAAATAAGGAGAAAATTAAGATATAGATTATGGAGTAAAGAAATTATGAATTTTTAATACGGAGTAAAGAAATTATGAGTTTTTAATACTTAAAGATTAGGAAATTCCTATTATAAATTTGGCCTTGAAAATATTAGTAGCGGATATTCAATACATTCTTGTGGATTAGGGAATTCCCGTCTTTAGTATTTTTTTGAAACTATTTAGCGGGTAGGTACTTGTACTATGCATATTGTTCTACCATATTCATGGTAATTCATTGCAAGAAAAATGTGTGACCATCATCTGAACATACAAATGAAATACGCAGCACGCAGTGTTGCGCGGTGTTGCGCAGTCGAACCGCACAAATATTTACGAACATTTTGTGAAAAGGAATGCAGAAAAACTAGACTCGAGTTGCTGGACTCTTTTTAACCGTGTGAATGCCCAGAGCGACACCAAAAGAAAATTTGAAAAACCTCAGACTCTTTTGCATCCCTGTCTGAAACGGCACTTACTTAACACAAGTAACTGTGCATTTGTGGTGCTTTTGTTGGCTGCTGTTTTGGCTGGTAGAAATTCAATGGAGCCAAAGTGATACAGACGCTCACCACTCAGTCATATGTATAGGTATATAGGTACATACAAGTATATACTTTCAAACATGTACATGTATATTAGGGTGTGCCAGATCTTATCGAATTTACGGCTTAAATTGAACCTATATACAGGATTTAAAATTTTTTTTTTATATTTCGAGAGGTTATACCATACTAAAATTTTAAATCGATATTTAAAATAGTTTCTGAGTAACAGCCTTCCAAAGTGTAGCTGCCCAGTACAATCAGCTCCATTAATTTATCTTTAAACGCGTTTTTCTCGAAACAGAATTTTTTGGATTTGCTTGAGTCATCACTCGGAGACAAATGATCCGATCACAAGATCATTAAAATTTTTCAGCATGTTCTGTATACAGTTAGTTCACCATACAATGACCTACCAGTTTTTTGATCTGACAAAAATCTAGTTTTGGTAGGCCGAAATCGACCAAAATTTTGTTTAAAATTCAACGTAAAAAAACTCCGTTATTTTGCCAATTTTTCAATTTTTTCAACCGTATGTCATAGTATGAAGAATTAGTTTTTAGGTTTCATCAACAAAAACCGGAATCACTGCAGCAGTGAAGGTCCTTTTTTGTACCACAGTCAGAGATCACGTCTAACTCGGAATGTTTTTATTTTTTTTCTTCAAAAATTTTACTGTGTATTCATAAAATATGCGTAAATATAGCTTTACATTTTTAAAACATTTGATACCGGAGTTTTTTTTTTTTAATTTACCAAAAATTGCCTTTCCTAGGCTGTGACTCTAGGCATGTTTAAATATAAATCCTGTCTTGCAGGTATATTTCTCTGTATATAGGTTTATTTTAAGCCATAAACACGTTGGGTTAGTTTTTTTGTATCACCCTTATTTATTTATATATATGTATATATTAAGTACGTATGTATGATGTAGATGTATAAATTGTCTATCTATGTATGTGTAGCACGGTCCTTTTTGGCCCGTTATCTGATTTTGTTGGCGCAATCGGAAAGTGAGTTGCAGCAAATGCACCGTAAATTTTGTAGTTTATGCAACTGCGCCTCTAGAGCCTACCTAAAAATATTTTTTATTATTTTACCAATGTCATTGCAGTCACAGCTGCACGGGTGGAGCAGTGTCAAATGAGATGGTATTATTTGTGATATAATACGAGGATTAAGAGATAATGAAGAAGGGAGGCAAATATTATACTAAAATAACAAATAAATAAAATGACAGTTAGTGGGTGGGTTGCTTCCTTGGTAGGGAAGATTGTAAGGATATCTAACTGCAAGCGGTGGTATAGTTAAAACATGAATAACATTTTTCCACACTCCATGTAATGCAGACACGCTCAGCCAGCAGATCCCTCTACATAGCATAAATTTAGAATTTTTGCATCTTAACTATCAAACTTTTTGGGCCCTATCGAGAATTTTCAGATCAATTTTATTTTAAATGATAAACGATAGTTAGCGCGGTTAATAACAAGTCTAAAACATATACATATAATCACAGGAGTTATTCTTCTTTTTTTAATATGGAAAGCGAAAAGAAATATATATTGGCGAAAGAAAAGTCACTGTTGGATTGTGGCAAAATGGCAAAAGTTATCGAGAAATCACGAAATCGCGAAAACTGTTGGGAGATAGTCCTCCTCAGTCCAGAGAGTAATAAACAATTACAAGAAAAGAAAATGTCATGAGTCCAAGCCACGTTCTGGACGTCCAAAAAAACTAACTGAAAGAGAAGAGCGCAATATAACCTCTCTGGTGAAGTGTAATCCACGACTGACAGCAAGCCAAATTTCAAAAGACATAGAATTTAAATACCAAAAGAAGTTATGTCCAGATACAGTACGAAAAATTCTGAAAAGAGCCGGATGTTACGGCAGAGTGGCACGTAGAAAGCCCTACATATCGAGAGTAAATCGATTTAAGAGGATGGCCTTTGCAAAAGAGCACTTAAACAAGCCTCCAGAGTTTTGGAAAAGCGTTATTTTTCCAGATGAGAGTAAGTTCTGCATCTTTGAAATAAACGGTCGTAAGATTGTTTGGAGGAAAAGTGGAACAGCACTGGATAAGCAAAATCTCGTATCTACGTTAAAGCATTGTGGTGGAGGTGCTATGATGTGGGAGGGGTGTATGGCGAGTTCGGGAGTTTGGAAGTTTTCAGTTTATTGAGTCGATTGTGAATAAATATGGTTATCGTGATACTTTAAAAATAAATTTAAAAGAAAGTGCAGTCAAGTTGGGACTAGGTGAGCGATTTATTTTCCAACAAGACAACGACCCGAAGCACACAGCAGAGATTGTGAAGCTGTGGTTGCTCTATAATATTCGAAAATAACTTCGTACACCCCCGCAATCACCTGACCACAACCCAATTGAACACTTATGGGACCTACTAGAGAGAAAAATTAGGCAGCGTGTTATCACCAGCAAAGAAATGCTAAGTCCAGAAACAACAGCCAAATTAGTTGGTTCAATGAAAAATCGCCTACTAGAAGTCATTAAAAGAAGTGGATATCCAACTAGTTACTGATTTATTATATACTTTTAAACCATTAGCCTTTTATTCCTTTATTCTTGGAGTGAACGCAGACTTTTTCTGCTTGGCTTGAAGGACTTTTTTGTTTTTACGTGAAATTATTTTGAATTCAATTACGTTATTGGTATTTGTTAGTTACTAATAGTTACTTTCTATTCAACTAAATAAAATACTGTAAAAAATTTTTGTTCATCATCTTTTTTTTCCGATTTTTCATAGTACAAAGGAACTTTGAGTAAGTGAACGCAGACTTTTTCTGCCATGTGTACATAAATTAGCCCTACCCTCACATCTAATTCGATTTTATTTAGTATTGGTTATGGGTTTGTTTACTTGCAATATTTCCTCAAAGTAAATCTGTGGTTCGTCAGATATTGGCGTCGTACCAAAAAGTAATGTTTTCCTTCTTGGCATGTCACCAGTAAACCACGCGAATTTAATCGCCTGAATTGATTTGTGATGGATTCAAAGCTCTACGCCAAGGCTTTTAAATGTATAACTACAATATTCATAAAGTCATAGATAACTTCCTTGAATCGCACAATTCTCATTTCTCTCTAAATATTTTTATTGTTAAAAATGCAAACCAAATAACCTGAATATTTAATTTTACTCTGTGATGTTATTGTTATTCATTAAGAATCATTGCGAAGTTCTCTGGATAAGTCTTAAAATCGAATTTAAATCTATTCTTATTTATTTTCCGTAGACTAAATTTTTACTCTGAAGCAATTTCAAAAGCAAACAGCAACTAATGCAATGGGTAGCCACTGTGTTCAAACCTTTCCAAAGCATTCATTCTCGTATCATTGTTCGACTACAAATAAATTTGATAACATTTGTTGTGAAAAGTTGATTGATTTGGTCACTTTTCTAAGCCTACGTGCTATAAGCACGAACTCACTAGCCCTATTTCAAATATAGGCTACTAGAAATATACCTTTACTTCCAGTGAAGGGGAGAAGAGGAAGATCGAGGACAAATCCTCCCACGAATTTCTCCAACAATTCAGTACAATTATCCACGAGGTCCGGTTTTCTCTCTACCTTTCCCGTCTATCTTAAATCTTCTCGCAACCAAACTTCCTTCGTATATAAAAATATGCATTTTTTGGCAAAAAATCATACGTCTACGGAGGTAAAAGGTCAAAATTTCAATATATGCACGTAAATTGCTTTACGTTTCAACTCTTTTTGTACACTTTTGGATAGTGTGATATAATGATACATTTTAACATCTTTCCTACTGTACCTTTTTGATACCTATGTTAACGGAAGACTTTTTCAGCTTCTTTACATACATGGACTCTTTACATAATATTTAATAATCTAGTCGAAAAAATAAAAGTGGTTGTCATTTCAAACACTAACTTCAACTATCGGATATTTTTTTGAATATACTGGTTCGAAGATTTTGTTTTACGAAATTAATGTGATTCAATTATGCAGCGAATGGAATGTACATTATGGTTGTGGGAATATTTCGAACTCAAAGTCGCCTATGGGTAAAAATTTTGGTTCGATTATTTTATTTTAAGTGATAAATGTGTAATTTAAATCTGAAAAAAACTCCTGTAAACTCATTTTTATGTTTATACAGGCATTTTAAAGGCCTAAGAATATGAGAACGAAATGATTTTGATCCTAACTTCAATTCCACTCTTTGTGGAGCAGATATTCGATGTATTATCTGTAAATTTTTTTAAACTCCCTTTGCAATTTTGGCAAAACGGCTTAACCATTACTTCGAAATACTTATTTCTGAGCAAATAATTTTATTTTTTATTTAGACTTTTGATTTATTTATTATTGGAAACACTACAGCTGACTAGTAATTTTATTGATATAAAAAAAAGTGTGTACGAGTATTGCTCTCAAACTGTGACTGCAATGCATTAATTGCTCAGCCTGCAAGCCTTTGTTTAACTGTCAATAAGTCAATTTTACGAGTGACTAGTTGGCACTATTGATGTTTTTTTCTACCTGCTAGCTGTTCAACAGCTTCGACGAGCTGCAAGGATATGCGTGTCGCACGCGCTTTCTAATAAATATGAACAATATATATACATATTTAATTGATTTTTTGTTTTCCAACGCATTTTTATTTTTTTATTGCCTAGGCATGCATAAATATAAGTATATATTTTACTAAGTTTTTTTGTTTTTTTTTTAGGCTGCAAGCGTTGTGTTAATTTTTAGTGTTTTGTCAGCAATTCAAAAATACTCCTATATATAATATATAATTACATACAATAGCTACAAGTATATATGTATGTACATTTGCCTACATATATGCCTCGACAATGTGCGTTGAGTAATTTCCCTACTTTATTTTTTAAGGACCTGCCTGCCTACTCACTTTTTGCTCGCCAATGCATGACCCTGATTTCTTTCATTTGCCACCATGAGCGTTTTTTGTTGCTGCTTTTTATTGTTATGTTCTCATATAATATTTATATTGAGTGTTCTTTGCGCTTTGACTTTGATTTTTTTTTCGTACTTTTTGCTTTGTTTTTGCGTTCTTGCTTATGCACTAAATATTTACAGCGTGCGCAAAATTACCGAAATGTCAAATGGAATGCGAGTCTACTGCTGGCAGGTGACTGCAATAAAAACAACAATGCACGTATTAAGTCACACGAAATTTCTTAAGAAGCGCACACACATTTAGATGCGCCTACATACACGTTAATATGTATTGTAAGGCTCTTCAAGGAGCAAATGCGTGTTGCTGCAAGCCTCTGAAAAAATGGACGCCAAAGCAGATGCGCTATGAAGGACACACACACACAGATACGCAAAAACATTGTAAAGCTTTGCACTTTATTTTAGTTAATTATTTTTATGAATTTTTCTAGTTTATATTATATTTTATATGTGAGTCCTTTCTTATTTCATTATTATATTTGTAGCGCGCGCGTTAAATACCCAGCCAACGGATCAAGTCCTTTCGAAAACGTCCAATTGGGGCGAAGCTTAAAAAGAAACTGACTGATTTCGCGAGCTGCTGCTGCTCGTATTAAGCTATTTGCATTGAGATGCCGTTATTCGCCGTTACCAACACCGACACATGCGAACACGATACGTGCCGAACAAATGAAAGTCGAACAAAACAGTTAATTTCGCTGCAACCAACATGTCGTATGCGTGTTGCGGCGTTTCAAGCTCCATACTTGCTGATATATATCATGTATGCTACAAATATATGTACATATATACTTACATATATATGTATCTATGTATATGCAGGTTAATGCTTCCGTGATATTTGATTACATTGCAGGCTAACGTCAGAGCTGTTGCTAACATTTACTGTAATCATACCGATGCATGTACCTATGCTCAAATACGTTTTGATGAGCTTTCGCCATTGCTTTCGTAAAAAAGCTCCGCGCACTTTCACACATATACATACATATACTTTCTTGTTTGGCATATTTTTAAATACAAAGCGCAAACCAGCCTTTATATGTGTTTGTATGTCTGTTGTTTTTTCCACTTGAGTGGAACGTAAATTTCACCAACCCACTAAAAGTAAAATAATAAAAGTTGAAGTGGCCACTTTTTGGCGTTTCAAACACTGAGAAGACCACTGACCATTCAATGTGCTGCAAAGTTTTGAAGGCTACTACCGGCGAGCTGTGCTGGTTAATTAACACTGCGTTTGCTGCAGAAGAGCAAATATATTTTAGAATAAGTATAGAATATATAAGTATATAATAGTATTAATACAAAATGGTAAATGTTTGATGAACGCGTAAAGAAATCTCATAAAGGCTATATTCTTCACAGCGCAGAACCGTTTTAGTGGCCGCTTCTTTAGTTCAGCATTTTATTGAAATTTTATTTTCTTCATTCCTGATCTATTTTAATAGCTGTCTTAAAAAGCAATATATAACTGTAAGTCGAAGAACCACATTAGCGGATGTAGCAACAAAATAATACCGCTTTCAACAATTGACATTCAGTTTTTAAAGGGGTAGTAGAGGTTTTAAAAACTTTTTTCGATTTTTGTCTTAAATGAATCCATGATAGCTCAAGAATGTTGTGTCTGAGTTTCAAACATCAAACGATCCTTGCAAAATTGACGAAGTGTTCAAAACTTTAAAGCGTTTTCCCCACAATTCACGCTTTTAAGGCCGGTACCCCTCATAACTTCAAAACTACTACACTGATCGTTTTTGAATGTGAATTTTGAATACTATTTCTGTACATAATATAGAAATATTATATATATAAATAACAAGGAAACATTGAAAAGTTGTTTTTTCATTTTACAATAACATATTAAACGATTTTTTCGCAAAAAATCCTATTTTTCCTTCAAAGTGAGAACAATCGAAATTTCAAAAAACGCCACCGACCTTGCATGCGCAAAGCGATTGTCTAACGATATAATTTTGATTTTTTGATTTCAAAGCTCACCGAGTTATGTGTCAACGCAAACCCACTTTTTTCGCGCTCGACGCTCCAAAGTAATTGCTGCCATTGCCGTACTTTTTCATATTTCTCCATACAACTTTAACAGAATATTCCACAAGTGTCCTACGATAATGTACTATTGGCTTTTAAAAATAGATTTTAACTGTTCAGTTAAAAAAAAAATCAAAAAAATAGACTTTGTTTTACACGAATTAATCCTAGTCCCCCTTAAAGGAGCACTAGGAGCACATCTGTGGGATTAAAAAAATACTGTATCTATTGTTTTAAAATTGGATGCGTATATTTAAACATATATTTTGCGAAAAAAATTAAATATTTTCGTCTTATCTGCGAGCTACGATGGCGTTTAAAAAAAGTTGAATTTTACCCAAAATTTTAGTCGCTGAAAACTGAAAGGAGTAATATAAGGAAAACACAGAAAAAATGTTAATTATTAATATTTGAAGAAAATTTGATAAATGTATTGTAGTTTTGAGAAAAATGCGTTTAAAGATAAATTGATGGAGCTAGTTGAGTTGAGCGACTACATTTTAGGTACATAGGTTTTAACTCCAAAACTGTTTGAAATATCGATTTCACAATTTAGTATATTATTCTTAAGGGTATAACCTATCAAAATATGAAAACAAAATCGATTTTATTTAATTTCACACTAGGTCTACATCTTAAAGTCGCCTGCGTCTAAAGTATGAGTAATCAAAGACTCTATTGATTAATTAAAATCTCATATAAATACATTAGAAACGACATTTTTAAAAAAATATGTCCGATCTAAACAATATGTTCGGAGCGTGTAGCGATAATAATCTATTCTAAATTTCGTGAAGTGTACTATGTATTGTATATATATTCCTAGTTTCAGTGGACTTTCATGGTTCGACCAATATTAGCGCTGTTCTTCGTTAATACTCCTTAAAGGGCAAGCTCCATTATTATCTGCAGATGGCTGCATTACGGTATATGCCTAAGTGTGTCGAATTAAGTCAAAGACATAGCCTAAAAACATAGTTTCAGCAACATTGTTAGACCCTTCTTATGTCTTATTAAATGACAAGAAAACGTAGCGGAGCTGCATTGATAAGCCAACCAAGCTGGCTCTCTCTCTGTATACATGCATACATACATACATACATACAAATATAAAAGAGACACATATTTGTATTGATAATCTGGTTGTTGGTATAGTCTATGCTATGTTATGTACAGATTTGTTATTTGATCTCGAAGTAAAATCGATCGATAGCGAGCTTCTTTTCAAAATTCATTCAAAACCCAGATACTGATTCAGTTTTCTTTTAGCGCTCGATGGTTTTGGTATTGCGGTAACTACGCGGTGTGACTTTAAGTGGAGCATTAACAATTAAAGAAATCAACAGCGTGTATTTCAGCAACCGTGTGTGTGTGTGTGTGATTTACAACTTAGTAATCATTGGGAAATCTTATTGAGCATGGCTTGTCCGTACGCTGGAAATGGGTGCGTAGGCGTGTTGTGTTATCACTACATTATTTTTGTTGTTATTGTTTTACGTGCAAATTATCATTGAAAAACGTAAAAGTATATAAGAGTTATCGCGTTACTATAATTTATTTACTTATACACCGTTAGTTCATTACATGACGACACTGCAACTCCATTGGGTACTGAGATTGGCATGATCTATGGTGAATATCTGATGCTGGATAAAGTTCTAAGTTCTCAACGTATGCTCTCGGTGGTGGATAATCGGCCTGTACACGATGAGCATCTCTTTATCGTTACCCATCAAGGTCAGTAGTGAATGTTACGTTGAACTCAATGATCACTACTTATATAAATTCACACACGTAGAAAAAACATAGTTTATAAAAATTCAATTGTATGATGAAAGTTGCTTTCATTTGCTTGTTAGGTTTGAGTGATGTATGTAGGTTTATTTTAATTTTTTAGTAAATACCTAAGGTATGTGTATGTAAATGATTAAAGATAGTGAAATAAGCGTCTTCAATTTGCAAGTTCACTAGAACATAAAAACTATAATATCAAGGTCTCATATGCGCAGTATATTTTCCTATTATAGTTTATAACACCCAAAAAGAAACGTTGGCGATACTATAAAATATATGCGTATATAAATGATCAGCTTAACGAGTTGAGTCGTTTAAGTCATATCCGTTTGCTTGTTCGTCTATCTATATGTATTATATATAAGAGCGAACTACTACACAAGAAGCTGCTCATTTGTCGAAACCGCCGGTATCAACTGATCGATCCAAATCAAGGTCGTGTATAGAACTTTATTATTTGAGAAGATATTTGCCCAAAATTTGGCAAAGATTATTGTCCAAAGCAACACTTCAAACTCCGAACATATTTTTCGCAATGGACCACTATAGGATATATAAACCGACCGATACAAATCAAGATAAAGATAATTTGAAGCTATACGAAATGTGCCAGCATATGCTATGCATAAAGACTTACTCTCTGGAAGAAAGCATCTGGTTAGAGCTGATATCTTTCATGCTATCTTTTGTCGTACAGTCAATTGATATTCCACTAAAGAACTTAATATCAAGGTTTCCAGTGTTTAGAAACAATTCTGATATACATAAAAATTCCATTGATAGTATGGTCATCATCCAAGCCCTGGCAATTAGTCAAACCTTTAGACGACTTACTACTCCTTCTTGTGTCCCTCAATATTTCAGAGTCATAAATAAGTTTTTTGGAGTTTGCTGTCAACGAAGTAGCTTCTGCAAACTGACATCCTGGATTTTCTTTCCTTATGTTCTCAAACACTCGCCTACGTGGGTCACCCAAAGTATTCATTGGTGATAACTCCTCTCTCCTAGCTTAAATAAAATCTCATTCAACATTAAGGCTGGAATTATTTAATTACCTAAGGTGTGTACTTTTGAATGAGACATATTGGAGTGGAGTCAACCATACCAATCAACCCTCAAATGAATTCAGATATTCAAATGTTTTTTAACGCACGTAACTCAGGATCTATCCCACTGGTTAACAGTTGAAATATGTTACTATCTCGCTTGCTCAACGCAGGGTTTGAAGCTATTCGAATGTGTTCTTTGATACACAGAAAAACGGGCGTGTCGTATGTAGAATAGATCTTTAATTAAAAAAACGTATGAATATTAACCTACCAGTGCTCTTAACAGCATTTTTAGACCTTTAAATATGCTGTATTTATACACTAGTAAACTTAGAGTCCATTACCGATTACGACAGTCGCCCCTTTTTTTTAAACAGGCCCAATTTATAGTGAAAGGCTTGATTATTCAAAGCGTTTAGAATGATTGATTGTCTTCTATTTCATTCTCTATAACTCTACCCTAAAATTATTATTTAAACTTCTCTTCAAATACAATATTTATATACAGCATACGAACTCTGGTTCAAGCAGATAATTTTCGAACTCGACTCCATACGTGAAATGTTAAACATAGAAGATATGGAGGAATCTAAAACGTTGGAAATTTTAAAACGTCTAAATCGTATAGTGCTCATACTCAAGGTAGTTATTACAGTAATTTCACGATCAAAAATAATAATTATTTATATACTTTCTCTCACCACACAGCTGCTCGTCGATCAAGTGCCCATATTGGAGACCATGACACCGTTAGATTTCATGGATTTTCGCACATATCTTGCGCCCGCTTCCGGTTTTCAAAGTTTACAATTTCGTCTGATTGAAAATAAGCTGGGCGTCAAGTCCGATCAACGCGTTAAATACAATCAAAAATACTCGGAGGCTTTCGGCAATGAATCGACCGCAATGGAAGCTATACTAAAATCTGAAAATGAACCGTCCATGTTGGATTTAATACAAAAATGGCTCGAACGTACACCAGGACTTGAGACAGACGGCTTCAATTTCTGGGCCAAATTTCAAGCAAGCGCTGAGAAATTCCTAGAACAACAAGTGCATACAGCTATGGTGAGTTTGTCAAGTTTTAATGCACAAGTATACTTACGTATATATAATAATTACAACTGCATCTCGTATATATCATCTATGCAGCAAGAACCCGTTGAAGCGGCACGCAACTATCATCTTATGGACATTGAGAAGCGGCGCGAGGTCTATCGCAGCATCTTCGATCGTGACGTGCACGAGGCATTAGTGTCGCGTGGCGATCGCCGTTTCAGCTACAAAGCTCTGCAGGGCGCCATTATGATCACCTTCTACCGCGATGAGCCACGCTTTAGCCAGCCGCATCAAATGTTAACACTGTTGATGGACATCGATTCGCTAATTACGAAGTGGAGATGTAAGCCAAATTAAATACAAACAAGTTAATTATCTATGTATGTCTTGTATCGTTTACAGACAATCACGTGATCATGGTGCAACGCATGATTGGCTCACAGCAGCTGGGCACTGGCGGCTCTTCAGGTTACCAGTATTTGCGCTCCACGTTGAGGTAAATCGATTTGACTTTGTCTTCATTTCGTTGAGCAAAATGTATTTAATTAACGCTCGTTTGCTTTCGTTTTGTTTTCACAGTGATCGTTACAAGGTGTTTTTGGATTTATTCAATTTGTCGACGTTTCTTATTCCACGCGATGCCATTCCACCGCTTGATGTCTCAATGCGAAAGGAGTTGATTAATTGATATTCGTTTAATTTCTTTTTTTTATTTGCTGGTTTTTAGGTTACAAATTTTATATATTTTTAGCATAATATCCTGAATATGTTATCATAATTCCTGTAGTTGTTGATATGCTGTTTTCTATTACAATGCCTAAGCAGACGTGTCTTGGACAGTTAGGAAACTAATGCTCATATTTTTCACTGTCCTAACCTTTCATTTAGTTTAAAAGTTATTGAATTATAATAATTTCAAAATAAATTTGATTTCAATTTCAATGATTGGATTCACATTTTATATAGTCTTTGGAGCCCAAAACTATATCCTTGTCCTTATATCGGGTCTGTTAAAGGAGATGTGTACGACTAATATCTTGCGTTCGTCCGATAAATAAAGGGTTAAAAGCATACAGAGAAAATGATGATGATCTGATAATATTTCACCGCACATACACACCAGCGACCGAGGAAGAGTTGAAACATTGAACTTCACACGGCGAACCTGCTGCAAAGAAGGGGAAGACTGTGCTATCAGTCGGAAAGGTGGTTACCTCAAGTTTCTGAGATTCCCGAAAAGTGATCGGAAACCTGGAACAAGGCCAAACGAGGGGCTCTATACTTATAAGTAATATTGTGCCAATCCGACTCCGGTTTACAAACAGCCCATTTGACGAAGACACCAACCCATACCTTCGCCGTCATCGCCACGGCCAAATAGTCGGAATTAGACTGCGAATGGCTGACCCGTCCATCATATCCTCTAGAATTGGCCCCGTCCCACTTCTTTTTGTTTCCAAAAAACAGAAAATTTAGTCCAATGCCGCGATTATCATCGCCTACTAAGCAGACCCCCGAAAAAGTATTTTTCAGACGAGATAAAGAAATATCGTTGGGTCAAATCTATCGGGATAAAAGAAGACTATGTTTAGAAATAAATCGCAATTTTCACAAAAATTCTTTTGGGGGCCAAATACTTATCGGAACATCTTCGTATATAAGATAGCTGTCGATATCGGTTATTACACTTCTAAGCACAGCAATACCGATTGAAGAAGCTGGCTTTATGAAATTAGTTGACAATGTTACCTATTCCCCGAGGCATCGGTATCAACGGCTTGGAAACTCCCTCGAAAAAATCAATTCTCCAAATACAATAAAACACTTCCAAATAATAAACACAGTTTTTGTAAATTTTTCGAGTTATTTACTCAGTCGTATTATATATTTATTTATATATATTTATAGATATAGATATATATATATATATATATATATATGTATATGTACGTATATCTCTATGCATATACTTGTCTAATAATAATATACAATTTTAATTCAAATCTCAATATCATAATTTAATATAATAATTTCTGTTTTTGGTATCCTTTCATATACATATATATGCACTGTATGTGTGTGTGTGTTTTTTCAAATATTTTTTATATATATATTTATTAATTGCTACAACATTTTTACTTGCTATACTCGTACCAATTCGAAAAATCCAAACAAAACGCCCGGTAGGCAACACAACCACAACGTGTTGGTACAATTTGTCGTCGAAGGATGTACATGCATATGTATTGGTAAGGTGTAAGTTTCATCATCAAATTGCTATAAATATATGTATATATTAGTACAAACATACATACATGCGCTTAAAGGTGTGTGGTAATTAAATTGCACCATTCCTTACTTAAGCTAATACAGAAAAATACACTTCTACATTTTTTTAAATGCTAAGATTTTGTTTAGCATTAATTTTACTTTTAATATTCATATTTTTGGAATTTTTGTTTTTATGACTTTGGTTTTGGTTTTTTGGTTGCTATAAAAAGTGGTCTTCAAACTGCATATGTTGTTTTTGTTTTTGCGAGCAATTTATATATTTTATATATGCATGTATGTAAGTGTGTGTTACACACTTTCTTATTGTTTTTTTTTAACGGTATGTTCTTTTAGTGAAATATAAAGTTTTGCTTTTGACATACAAATACACTTTAAGAATGCAGATATACTTTTATATGTGTATGAATTTTCGTTTATGTATATGTACTTGTATGTATGTGTGTTGTGATTTGCTGCGTCTTATATTTGCTTTTACTTCTGTTCTATTGATTTTCGGTAATTGAAGCGACGTACATATGTATATTAAATTCCTCTTGATTTTTAGTGCAACTTTTCACTTTTTGGTCAGTTGAGTTTTGAATGTGTGTGTGTTGCAACTAGTATTGATGGCGCGTACACAAAATTCGTCTGTGCTTAAAGTACATACCAGATATAACTATACATATATATAATATATATGGATATATGTATATGTGTATATATGTATATATGTAGATGCCTTTATGTACATATATGTCTAAACATGCATATATTCATATGCAACTATTGTTGTTATTGTTTTTGTTTTTATTGTTAAACACTCAAACGCTTACGCATACATATGTATATACCTTTTATGCAAATTTTTTTTTAGTTATTAGTATGTATGTGTTGCTATTTGCTTTTCTGCACACCTTTTTATCTTTGTATATTTAAGTGTTTATACATTTCTTTAAAACTATTTTCTCACTGCTTTCTGTGGGTTTTCACTTGGTTTTTGTGGTAAAATTCTTATGTCTTTCAGCGCTCATTACAATTCTTGGTCTCTTTATAATTTACATACATATCAATATAGTGTTTTACAAATTCTTATATATGCACATACATACATGTTTGACATACATATGTACAGTGGCGGATAAAAGTATGTGTACACTGTGTAATTCCTCCATAAAAAGTATTTAACTAAATTCAGTTGATGATTCAATTTATTAATGACATCATCAAAAATCATAAAAATATTAAATATAGCCAGAGGATAATACAGACCATTGCAAAGACTTCAAAAACAATGGTTGCACCTAAAGAAGCTTTCTCATCTACACAACAGTTTAAACTAAGTCAAGGATAGCGTGGAGGAAATCGGTAACAATTTTGACCGGTCTCGGAGTTCTCAGGGGACCCGGTGTACTATAACCAAAAATTCATTACAACTCTCACCATTATGAGTTTCTAACATTTCATAACAATAATTGCATGTAATTTTATAATTTTAAAATATGCTCCTGCAACCTTCTCAGCGGCCTATAAAAAATAAAATGTAATTTTTTTCCATATCTGCAACAATGTTTCTACTGGATTTTTTAGCCAATTATTATCAAGTTCTCATAGGTATATGTACCTCGAGCGCATTTAATATCAATAAAAATATACATTAAGCAAAATGAAATTAGTTTGTTCACAAAATACAAAATTTTATATCAATAAATTGATGGATCAGGGGGTGCGCATTCTATAACCTCTGCAGGCACAGATTTTCTCTCTACGATTCTGGTTCCAACCTCTAGAAAGTTGATAGAAGTTCGAAAAAGCTGCAAAAAAATTGCCGCAGCATGCTCTTTCACACCTAATCAATTGACAGGGGTATTCCATATGTTACGACCCCATTGGAACAGCTCGTTTTTTGGATCTACTAACTACGATCAACTTATTTATTATCGCAATAACAACATATTGAACCACATCTGCCCAGGATATGGAAATTATTTATATTGGGTGCAATAAATGCAGATGTATGCTCATTTACCTATAAGCTCTTGAACCATACCAAATTTTCAAAAAAAAACTTTTTGGTTACGGTTTGCTAAAACATTCCAAGAACCAATTTGTCTAACATTAGTAAAAAGAAGACTGAGCAATAAAGGGAAAAATCGGCAAAAATACATATGTTTGAAATAATCTTCGAAATTCGCTTGTAGAAAATTTGGTTATCTGTAAGCGCTGCGCAATTAGGGTGTCGTGTAAGTTCACAATCCGGCGATCCACCGTATTACAAATCTATAAAAACGAGGACAAAATTGTTTAAGTTGGACTTCGAATTGCTTAAGCATCTACTTATATATCTATTCTTCAGATCTGACCACCAACTGCCATTTACTGCTCTTACAACTCAAAATTACAGCTTAAGAGAAAAAGGTCAAGGTAATCGTCGAGACTGCACATTTTGGAGCAAAAGCCAAATTGTTTTACAAGCAGCTTTATTCGGTATTGATATACTTTAACGGAATAATAAGAATTATCATAATGGTTAAAAAAAAAATGTGTTTTCCTTTAATTATATATAAGAACCTTTTAATCTGACTTTGTCATCATTGATCATTTATCGAATGTAAATGTATGCGGAAATATCGGAATAAACTCTTATCTGAAAAAGGGGTACAGTAGAAATATTCAGCTAAATATAGAAGAACAAAAATTCAATACACTAACTGATTATTAGTTATCTTGTTATATTGAAATCAGTTTCGCAGAGTATAAAGACCTTTTCGCAAGTTGCGCTGTAAGAAGTATTCCAAAAAATATTTGGTTTTTAAATTAACAAAAATGTTTTGTGGTTGTATGCAAACATATGTACGCATACTTTTGTTCACCACTACATATACTGTACACATGTATTTATGCATTATGTTAAATAAATTTTATATTATTCATATTTTATATATATTTTTGCAATATAGTTATATTTGGTTTATGCAATTTTCAACATTTTTTTTTAATCGTAAAACTAAACAACTACAAAAAATACAAATTTTATAATAAAAATTAGATTTTAACCATATAATTACATATTTATACATATAACTATATCATCTGTTTTCTTGTAACTACAGAGTGTGTGTGAGTATTTTTCATTTAAATCTCTATTTCTATACTTCTATGGAATTCTATTCCCGCATGCATTTCTGTTGCACGCCATTTCTATATATTGTATATACTTATATGTATTTACATGAATGTTTGCGTCGTATCGCCTAAACTACAATACTTTGCATTATGCCTATGAATTTAAAACTCCCATATATAAGTCTCTAACTAAACATTTTCCATAATAATATATACTGATTTTTAATTTTTAAGTTTACATCTAATTTTAATTACAATACTAACTGCCGCACATTCTGTAATAAGTACCTTATATTACTTAAAAGTTGTTGTTGTTGTTGCGTCACTTTGGCACTGTCACTGAAAATTGTCGCAACTATGAGTATATAATATAATTATATATGTACATACATGTATGTGTATGTATATATTGTAATGTTAAGCTTGCTAATTACACAGTTGAAGTAATTATAAGTATAATTAAACAGTTATACAGAGAGAGTTGAGTTATAGGCATGCAAGATAAACATTGAAAAAAATAATTTTTTTTATATTAAAATTTTTTTCGCCATTTTGTTACTGAATTAAATATTTTGAAATAAAATAATTCTATAACTGCCCAATTTGTACTTACTAACACACAAATAAATTAATTAAAATGTTTTAATGCGCACATGCAACAATTTAAAAATTGCACCAAATTGTGCTTCAATTAATTTTAGTGTTTTAACTAATTTTTATAATTTTTTAATCAATTTTTATTTTCTAATTAACTTAACTATTTTAAATAAATTTTAATTTTTATTTAATTTTAATTTTTTTAAAATTAATTTTGATTTTTTTAAATTAATTTAAATTTTATAATTAATTTAAATTTTTTAAATAATATACATTTTTTAATTAATATAAATTTTGATAATTTTTCAATGAGTTTTAATTTTGCAATTAATTTTCATAATTTTTTTTATTAATTTTTACTTGTTAATCAATTTTAATTTTTCAATTAATTTTAATTCTTTGCAATTTAATTATAATTTTTCCGAAAATTTGCATTTATATTAATATTGGGCATATAAATTTTGCTAAGCACAATTTCTTTGATTTTTTGTTTAATAACATTTCACCAATTATTTGGTTGCAATTTCAAAATTTATTTTTAATGAGTATATTTGAGTAATTTTTTGCTAATTTTCGCGCTTAACAAATACATTTAATTTATATAATTGCTTAATTATGCAACCACAAAGCAGCACATACAATAATTTAAGTTAATTAATTAAATTAATTCTAAATTAAAATAAGCTTAATTATATTATGCAATAATACTAGTACTAAACTAATTGGATTTAATACTTTTGAGCAATAAAATCTGCTAGACTTAATTTTTCTTTGATTACACTTATTATAGAACTGTAGCACCCACAGTGGACTGTATGTATGTATTTACTGAAAGCCGATTTGACCTTAAACTAATCGTAATTACGTTCTTGAGACATATTTACAAACATTAGAAGCGTCTTGATTGCTTTTGAAAGATAACAGTGTTCGATAATTAATTGGGGTTTGATGAAATCAAGTTTCTTTCTTTAAATGTGGACTGTTTATGTGAAAAGTTGTTTATATTTCTAAATCAAAAAATTTAATTTAACTTTTTGAAGGCGCAATCAATTCGAGTACATTTTTTTTGGATTTTTACAACTAAATTCTAATGTATTTATGCAAAAAAAAACAGGGATGCCACCTGTTTGAAAATGTTAACTTAAAAAATATGAATAAAACGAAAAAAATAACATAAACTTAGATGTTTTAAGATATTTTGCAGTTGAAAATATTTTTTGGAAGAGTTGCCAACTAATAAAATTTTAAAAATCAATTAAAATAACACGTTAAATGTTAAATAACATCATATGCGCCAAATTAAAACGTTTTGAGAAAATTTTTGCTAGAGGTATATCTGATAAGCTTTGCCACCTATTTTCATAATACCTCAAAATATTAATATGAAAAAAATGCCACAATATAGGTCAAACAGTAGAGGCACAAGAAAGCTTATATATGAAAATATTTTTGGGAAGGGTTACCAGCTGTTAAAATTAATAATCAAAAATTAATTCGTTAAATGAAATCTTACATTATATGCCTTAAATTAAAACGTTCGAGTAAATTTCTGCTACAGATATTTCTGAGTAACTGCCACCTATTCTTATGATTTCAAAATATTGATAATAAAAAAATGCTACAATATGGACATCAAAAAGAAGAAACACAAAAGAAAATTTGAAAATATTTTTGGGAAAGGTGGCAACTCTATAAAAATTGTATTACGTCACAGATGACTAAAGAGGTTCAAAAGATATGAACTAATGGAACATGCGCATCACACTAAACGCCTTTGGAAAAAATTTTGTCGAAGATTCAGAGAAGGGTTGCTACTCGCTTAAAAAACTTAATTCTTGAAAATTGTTAAAGTATTTTCACTTTTAAAATATTTTCATCACATAAATTTTTTTAGAAATCTTTCATGTTAGAACATTTCGGTTGGTTCCATATTATTGAGAGTATGTGCAGCAAAACTTGATTTCATCCATACCCTAGAGAAAAAAATGCTCTGTAGCATTTTAAAAGAAAAAAAAACATTACACATACAATATTTTACGCTTTGGAATATTTGGAAATACACTTATACATACGTATGTATAATTGTGGGAAGCTCAATTTGCTATTTTATAAAGCAGTAAATTTCCAAAGCAAAAAGTATGCGCAAAATTATGAGCCAACAACTAGAATTAAACTACCATAATAATACCAGTACGGTGTGATGCTAAGGAAATGTACATACAAAAATATGTTATTAATAGCTATATGTATGTACATATGTATGCACTTTTAATCGTATGCAAGTAGTTTAAACTAATCAAGTACCAAGTAAGAAGACTGAACAGTTTTCTGGTAGTTTCCTGCAATATTTCGTCCATATGAATATAATAATTACAATTATTTTAATATTTACAATATTTAATAAAAATTACCTGACGGAGCTTGTTAAAAGAGTAAAATAATTGCAATCAACCGACAACATTTCCAATGTTTAAAATTCATTCTTAACTTCAACTTAAATAAATAAATATTTATGTAATGACTACCTTAAAACACATATTACACACATACATTAGTATATTTAGTTATACATATATTTATAACACTACATTATTAATATAATTATGTAAAGTATGTGTTGACTTCCTTATATATTTTTTTTATTATATATTATATTTTTTTTTTAATTATAATTAATTTTTGTTTTTATTTTGTTATTATTTTTTTGTTTGATTTCAATAATGTTGTCTCTGCTTAATATTTGCCACTTAAATTTTGGTATAAAAACATTGTTGTTTTTGTATGTCATTATTGTTTGAAATTGCACTTTTGCTATTGTTGCCTCTTTTAATGAGTATTTTATTTATGTGCGTTTTGTTTTTGGATCGACCAATTACTCTGATCATTTTCGTTTTTCGAATTCTTGCCAATTCTTTACATATTTTAGAAATATTTGTTACTATGCAACAACAAAAAATAATGTTTCTGTATTACTGTTTCGTTCTTATATATTGAGGTTAGGCGACATAAATATTGCTTGGAGGCAGAGTAGCTGATTCTTAATCTGGATTAAAATATAACTGATTTAATTAAGTCTCAAATAGGTCTGACTGCTGAGCGACATGACATATAATTTGTTGTGGACAGAAATTGAAGACATGGATTTTTTAACTCAGCACGGCACGTCATAATGCAGCTACCTTGGTGATGTCAGTTAGCCAGCACGGCGTTCAAATTCGACGCTGTTGGACTTAAGATAAATATTTTATCAAAAAAACTTAAAAAAATATTAGAACCTCTCTAACCATATCAATGAAATTGTGATCCGAAAAAAATGTTTTCTCGACAACTTATTCCTTTATTCAAAAAATATGACTTATGGAACCATAGAATCGTTGGGTCTTTGCTTTTTGGACTATATTAATGTATATATGAACCGGATGTTAATTTGTTTCTTAAACTCATTTTTAATGGAAAAAGCTTTCAGACCTTGTTTATGAGCTTGTTAAAGCATATATATACCAAAGAAAAAAAATTTACTTCCGCTGCCTCGAAACTATAATACCTATCGCAGATGCAATTCTTGTAACATAAAAATATCTTTATCCTGATTTTGATCGGTCAGTTTATATGGTGGCTATATGATATAGTGGGCCGATCTCAACAATATGTTCAGAGATTGTAGCCCTGCCTTGGATAATAATCCGTGCCAAATTTCGTGAATTTTCAATTTGTCGAATAAAAAAGTTTTCCGTACAAAAATTTGGCCCAATGAGCTGTTCCTTGAAGCGAAAAGAAGATGTACAAAATTTCAGAGGAACTAGTTCTAGTATAAGCAGACAGACGTTTACGGCTAAAGCGACTCAGCTCGTTACGCTGATTATTTATACAAATTTCGTTGCAAGCTTAATATACCTTGTACAGGGTATGAAAGTCGCGCTGTTGCATAAGCTCAGTATATAAGTAAACAGCAGTAATTATCAAAAAATAAAAATGTTGTTGCCCAGTGTACTTTTACAGTTTTAGCATTTTAAAAACATTCTGTTATTAATTACTTCTAAAAATTGCTGTCATCAATTTGCAATTAATTGGAAGCTTTCATTTCTAATGGAATATGACACGTTCATCAGCTGACCAGTACCGCCGTTACTTTGTTTATACATAAATACATACATATGTATATTTAAAATCTAAAGTAAGTACATATTTATGCAGACCTACATATATATATATACTAGTATATTATGTAATCCATTCATAAATGTTCACTTCACTATGACTAATAACTCTAAATCATTTCTAATTAAATTCCCTCGTTGCTGTTGTTGTTGTTTACATGCATGCTTTCATGCTAATATACATAACCTCAACCCGCTGCATTGTGGTGGCGCTGACAAACACACACAGCTAATACATAATGCATGTATGTGTGTGTTTGTGTGTGCGCTAGCAATTACCCGTACTTTTACCGTTATTATAATTACCCATCTCCCGTCATTGCAGTTTACCGTGTGCTCAGCTGTACCGACGACATTTCGACGCGTTGACACTGACGGCGCTCCACAATGACCGCCGCCGTTGGTGCCGACTAATCGGCCGCGGGTCATACATTCATTGCATAATAGACGGAACCTTGAGCGGCGGCGGCGGCTGCGGCAGTTTGTTGTTGCTGTACCGCATTCGGTGGTGCTGGTTGCTGTTGTTGTTGTTGCTGCTGCTGCTGCTGCTGGTGCAACTGCTGTTGTAATTGTTGTTGCTGTTGTAATTGCTGCTGCTGTTGCAGTTGTTGTTGCATTTGTTGTTGCACAGTTGTCGCTTGACTAGCGGTTGGTGACACCATGCTGTGACAATCGGTATGCGACACCGCTGCCGCGCCCTCAGGCACACCGCGCTCACTGAAACCGGGTATATTGCCCTCCTGCGCGAACTGATAGCGCTGCGCCATAATGCGCGGATGCGGTGGATGCGGATGTTGATGCGGTTGGTGGGCGGCTGCTGCTGCGGCTGTGGCAGCCTCAACGCCCACCGCTTGCTGTGCATGTTGCGCATAGTGTGCGGCATGACCGCGTCCGGCCATTACGTGCAGTTGCATGCCGGGCAGCGCATAGCCGATGGGTACGCGTATGGTCTGCTGAGTCACCTGCAAATATGGCAAATGGCAAATGGATTTAGCGTGTGACATAATAATAGTGTGTAAACAATTCGTCATTTGACGGTGGTTGAGTGCACACCTGTTGGTATTCCAGTATATTTTGGCGTTGTATGTGCGCCACCTTCGGGTCTATATTGCTGGCGGCAAATTGTGAGTACGTCTGTGCGTTGTACGGTATTAACACCATTGTTTGATGGTAATTACGCAGTGGCGGCGGTGACTCCGGGCGTCGTGTCGGACTGCGTGCATAATGGCCGTAGTGTTGTTGTTCGATGGCGGTGACACTTTGGCAATTTTGCGCTGCATACATCATTGCCGCCTCGTCCTGACCTTGTTGCATAATCGTTTGACGGAACATAGCGCCGCCTGGTAGTGTCTGGTAGTAGGCCTGCTGCATGCCGGCACCTTCGATGGGCAAGCGTTGCTGCTCGCCAGCACCGCCTTCCGTGTAGAAACTCCAGGTGCGTTGTTCCGTTTGTTGTTGGGCGATTGTGTTGGCTTGCATTTGAACGGCTTGTGTTTGTTGCTGCTGTTGTTGTTGTTGCGGCTGCTGCTGTTGCTGGCCCACCATCACCTGGGAAGGCGGTTGTGGCTGCTGTGCTTGCTGTTGCTGCTGGCTTTGCTGCTGGCTTTGCTGTTGTTGTTGCTGTTGCTGTTGCTGTTGTTGTTGTTGCTGCTGCTGCTGTACAACATTTACAGGATGTGGCACATTTTGTGGAGATGGATTTTGTGAGATCTGCTTAGTCATGGAACTGGTTGAGGCCTGCTTTGGCAGCGTGTAGCTCTTGATTGCTTGGTTGACGGGCTGCAAAAGGGTGAAGAGGGTATTATATATTTTACAATAGTTAAAAAAAGAGTAAAAGCCATCGATATTTTTATTTAGAATTGCTTAACATCAGCCTTTTATTACACGCTGTAGTCTGAATGAGATGTTGACAAAACAATAGGTTATGTTGAAGATAATTTTTCAGAAGTTATATTTAGACATATTTGAAATTAATCATTAAAAGATAGGGAACTGCTAAAGATGTAATACCGGAAGCGGCACCATAAAATTATACGTCGGATATCATAATAGAATACCGAAGGCCGCTCAGCATTACTCAAACATATTTTAAAAATGCTGGATTATTTTTTAACTAACTAATCTAACCGGAAACTAAACGTATGACTTTAGTCTATGCTCAACAAACCCTTTAGATATGGGGTGTGAAACATAGCTGTAGACATGGACCTGCAGAGTAAATCATTCTGAAAAGAAATGCTTCCCTTTTATTCCAAAATTTTTCAAATACCTAGCTTCCCTAACTTTTTCTTTGACAGAATTCATACTTCTTAAAAACCATATGCTTCTAGTTCTTCCCGAGAATAGTTTTATCCCCTTCCTTACCTGCCCCACTGCGACGCTGGGCATCTGCTGATTCAACTGCTCCTGCATCTGCTGTAAAATCTCATTGGTGGAGCTGAATTTCGGTTTGATGCCACGCACCGATGGGCGCTTATTAAAGCCATAATCATTTTGCTCATCATCATCAGAGCTATTGTTGGAGTTCTCGTTGGTGTAGCGCTTTTTAATCTTTTCCGTACGATTGGCCTCCTGCTGTGCAAATGCGGCCAATTCATCTTGTTGCTCTTGTCCCGGTGTGCCGGCAATGACATCTGGTGCCACCTTGCGTACCTCATCAGGACCACCACCAATACCACCAGCCGGTGTTACGCCAACTTGTTCACATAAATTGGCGCCGGCCAAATTGAATTCGGCAAATTGTGCATTGTTGGCCGCATGGCCGCTGTGATGGGCAGCAGCCAGGGTGTAATAGGAAGATAAGTCGTCTTTGTTGCCAGCCACACAGGCGGTCAACGGTGCTAGAGTGGAGAGGAATTGGCGTTTCGGCTCCACTTGACGTGGTGGTGTGCGATGTATTTGAGTGTGAACAACGGGCACTTGTATGCCCATACCAAGATCGGGTGCGGCCGGACAACGGCATTCCTATATTGAGAGAGGATTGTGAGCAAATTTTGTTTTTGTATGTTAAAAAGGCAGTTAGCAATACCTGAGGTATTATTACTATTGGATTTTCTTCCATCTCCAGTATTTTGTCTTGCTTCTTGTCGCGGTTGAAAATGTCAGAAATCTTTTTGTAGGCCGAGGAACCGCTTGATGAGCTCGACACCGACGAACTGGGTGAGAAACTCTTATCGCTGTTACCGTTAGCAAACTTTTGTGGGTTTTCTTCACCCATGGGACTGCCACGATGTGTTAATTCACAATTGGCTTCCGCAGCCAGCTTCGAGCTTTCTTCATCGCCGTTCTCTGCAGCGCTATCCTCATTCGTTTCATCAATGTCACAGGTTAGCTGTTTGATACGTTCTTCGAGTGAAATATCGGATTTAACAGCTTTTTTCCTAGTGCAAGCAAAATACGTTTATTAAATAGAGTAAGAGAGCAAGGAAGGAAGGTAGAGATAAAAAAAGTGAGCCACTCACTTGATCAACGATCGTCGCAATATATTACGTTCAATGCTACGTCTTATGGTATCCGTATCACCACAGCCGGGCAGATTTGGCACCAAACAACCAGCACGCTTAGACTCGTCGAACGCGCGTAATGCTTCCGAAGTCAGCACCGGTGTTTGGTGAGCGACGCTTGGGAACAACTGGCGTACGGCGGAATTGGGACGTAATGCGTTGTTGAATAATGTGGAATGTTTCTTGATCGGTATGAGCTCGTTTATCTGATTCTCCCCTTCAGCGGCGTCGCCAGTTGTCTGACCCTCGCCGTCACCAGCCAAATCTTCAGTAACGAAGCGTACCGAACGCTTTGTAGTGCCGCCCTCATCTTCAGATGTCGTATTATTTTGATCATCCGACTGAAAGATGAAAGGTAGTTTTAAGTGTTTTGAAAGAAGAACAAAAAGCAATATTAACCTACAATAAAAGAATTTAAAGTAGAAATAAAGATATTAATACATTTAAACCCTTAAAAACTCAACGACCCTTCCTCCCCTTCTTTTTTACGATCAATGAGGCTACTATGCTTTTCTTTCACTTTTTACCGTTTTCAAAGGCGCATAAGGAATTCCAAAAATATTTCTTTACACAGTCTTGTTGGTAACAACAATATGGAAAATTAGAGTTAGGAAGAAGATACTGATAAATTGTACTGTTTTCATGTTTTCACGAATGATGCAATATCTTCTCTCATTAAAAAAATAGCCAGAGCACTTGCGACTTGAGTCACATGACACGGTTGACAGTCTTAATTTTGAAGGTCTAAGCATATTCATCCGATTGGTTCCGAAAACAATATCACCTTTTGAATCTGGAATGCTGACGAGTTGAAAGCCCTTGGCCGGATAAAAGTCCGGATAAAAGTCCCGACTGTCGTGTGAACTCTCATAATATTGATCGTAATGATGTAGCTTATAGACAATGACAGATTATCCAATATATTGTTACCTTCGACAGTATTCGAGAGAAAAATTTTGCGAAAGTCTTATAGATTTTTCCTTGTTGGCAATGTATAACGAAAGACCGCGTGGAAAAGAACTTGAATACAAGCGGTTCTTTGACTTGGTGTCAATTTTTATAAAAAAGAAGAAGTACTCCTCCTATTCTTGTCATTAGTTCCTGTAAAAATAACCAAGCTGGATAGTGTCGTGTATACACAACTTCATACCAGATTTAAAGGTTTTACTGCAGCTATGCTTTTATTAAAATTCTAGTATATATCTTTTGTTCCGCTTGCTGACGTCCTTAAAAGAAACAACTTTGAATAGTTGGCAGTTATAGCTTTGGTGTTCATTCGAGTTTTCTCGACTTTTGGAGTATCTATGCAAAGACCCAAAACAGGGAATTAAAAGCTTTTAGTGTTTTGAGAATATGTATTATCCTCACTAATATCGATTCTAACAGGATTTCGTATTGCACTAATTAAATATTAAAGCTTCATGTATTATTAACCAAGCTACGCTTTTTTAAATAAAAACTAGAAAGGCAATTACATAACGTTTAGAAATATTCCAGCGTAAACTGTGCATCCTTACCTGTGACATTGAATCCTGCTTCCACAATTTACCGCCCTTCAGAATACCGCTAATTTGTGTGGGTGACGACTCTTTTGGTGGTATGGGTGGCGGTTTCTCCTCATCAAACACCTCACCGCCCACAGCTGACGGCTGTTGTGGTTGCTGTTGTTGCTGCTGTTGTTGTGGTGGCATTGGCTGACCCGTAGCAGCGGCCACAATTGCACCGGGTTTGGCCGGTAATGCTGGTGGCAAGAGATCAGTGGCACCCGTTACGTCCTCGCTGGCTTCACGCACAATGCGCCGCTCCGTTACTGTGGTCATAGTGGTAATAGTTTCAACAACAAAACGTTTATTCTTCTTGGCATTCAAACGATTATCCTTTCTATCTTTGACTTTATTACATAATATGCGTTCAAGTCAAATATGTAGGTATGTTTACGATTAACGATTACAACATAATTACAGCACAAGTACATGTACGACATATTTATTTATTTTTTTATTTTTGTTTTTCAAATACATTTTGTTAGTAGTTGTTGTGTTAGTAAGACAGTTATATTATTGTTATTTTGGTTTTTTTTTTTTTTAAATTGAAAATTGGTTAGTTCGGTTAGTACAGTTGGGTATTCGGTTAGAGGCGCATAAATGGCGTTGCGTTGTAAAGACGCAGATATGAGCGCAAAGCGAGTTCACCACGTCGCCGACAGTGGTTTTGGTTGGTAGTAGTGGTGCATATGTAGCAGATTACCCCCACAAATGTGATTTGGCAGCATAATGAGAATTACATACATACAAACATTACGAATATCTACATACCAAATATTAGCACTACATATGTACGTATGTATGTTGGGTGTGAAAAGCGCGTTAGTTAGACATATTTACATGTATGCAGGTATGTATGTATGTATTCAGCTCATGCAGTTGATTGCGGTATGCATAATGCGTAATGCGAAATCGGGAATGCAACTCTGTTATGAATGCTTCATTGAATGGCTTATGCGCTATGTTTATGCGTATGCGTATGTATGCTAATGCTTATGCGCTTATTTACAGCATGAAAATTATAGATGTTCATGAAATCGCGCATTATTCTATAACAAAAAGCGTCGGTTTAAAAAGCAAAGCTAACGAAAATTATAGTGTAACTCAATTAAGTTTGCTAAAATGCAAATTATAGTTCAATTCTTCTTCTACCCACACTCCGATTTATGCGTTATTTGTGTTATAAATAAAGAGAGGTTATGATTTTTGAGGAATGCTTTATTAACTTAAGGTTTTATTTGTACAAATAGGTGACAATTCAGGTATGCGTGCCGAAAACTAATCAAACAAATCAGAGATCATCAATTGGTCGGATGGCTTGAATTATACAATGTATCGCAGCGTTGTATAGAAAGATTAAATTTCGTATTAAAAGAAATTCTGAAACAGTTTTGTAATTGCTTGACTCAGTATTCTTTGAGCAGGCGTCAAAAACGGGACACAAAGCGAAAATACACCATATTTTACAATTTTTCTTCGATGAAGGCGAAAACACAAACCAGTCGGTTGAAATTGTGAATAATTTTGAAGATTATGAGTCATTCTACGCAATTTTGCTTTCGTCGTTTCCGTTCCGTTAATTTTGAGCTTAAAGATGCACCACACTTTGAAAGGCCAAATGTCGAAAATATCGATAAAATAACGGAAATCGTCGAGTCCGACTATCATGAAAACACTGTTTCGATAGAACATGAGCTAAGCTTTGTACAGCAAATCGTTTGAAATCATTTAAATAAGGCTGGATGCAAAATTAACTTCGATATATGGATGACACTCGAGTTAAAGCAAAAATACATCATTTCTGAATCGGTGGTTACTAGTGGCTCACTTACGAGAACGTCATGCAAAAACGATCGTGTTCAAAATGCGGTAAGCTGGTCCAAACATTGGCAAAGCCACGATTGTTGATTTGGAAGGTTTTTGTTACATATGTGTATGTGTTTGATGGGGTTGGCTGCTTCGCTACCGGCAAACTGTTAATTTGTACCTGTACTGTCAACAATTGAACAATCTGAAGGAAGCAATCGCAGAGAAGCGGCCAGTTTTGACTAAGAGGGGAGAAATGTTATTCCATCAGGACAACGCCAGGCAACACACATTGATAGTGACTCCCCAGAAGCTCTGAGAGCTGGTTTAATAGGTTCTTATGCATCCACCTTATTGTTTGAACCTGACACCAAGTGATTGCTGTCTGTTCCTGTCTATGGCGAATGGTTTTGCTGGTGACAAATTCGCTTCAAGAGCAGCTTGTGAAAGTCGACTTAGCAACAAGTAATCGAACAAAACGGCGCATATTTGACCTAAATCGGTTCATTCCAATTATGCTAAATAAAACCGTTCAATTTAATACAAAAAAGTGAGTATGAATTTCTTTTTACGATATATTTCTTATTTCGCGGCGCTTTAGGGGGTCTAGCGACAAAACAATTTAGGTATACAAGAAATAAGTGATGGAATATGGGTTCATTGTGAAACTTAAATCAGTTGTAGGTCTTAAAACACATCGGGTTTGCATTTAATGTTTGTTTATGGATATTTGAAATATTTTTGAGAGTTAGTCTTCCATGAATAGAAGCAACAAAAGTATATAACTTTAAGCAAAAAAGTTTCTCGGTGTTTTTATTTTAAGTTTCGCAAGCATTGTCATCGAATTTATAATATAAAAAAAATTTTAGAAAATATAAATGAAGCAGTTTAGATATGAGGATTTTATAGAACTGATATTTATTTGTATTTGGTAAGCAATTTTAAGGTTTATAACTTGCACAGTACGAGCCCATAAGTACTTCAATGCTCAGTTCCTCCAACTCTATTAAACTTAACCTCAATGTGATCAAAAGCATTTAAGGTAAATTTTTTACCGATTATACTCAAATATTTCGCACTCACTGCAAACGACAATGCATGCGACTGTGTTAGTGACTCAGCGCGCAAATAACAGTAATAATAAAGCAAAAAGTACGTATGATAATTGAAATGAAAGCACCTAATAGCAACAAACACAAGTACAAAGCGAAGCAAAGCATATTATGCATAGGTGTCTAAATATATATGACATATTTACATACATATATACTAAATAAATAGCAATGTACGAGTATGCTACGAATACATATACAATATACATACATATTATATATGGCATATAACTACAGTTAGGTAAGTAGGAGAGAGGTCATATTTCATTTCATACCTGGCGATGGTTTATACTGCGATTGTAGAACGTATTTGGGACGCTCTTCGCCGGCGATGATTTCTTTCTGTGTGATGCGACGTTCGGGTGAACTGGTGTGTAATGGCAATAGTGCAACGGCCGACACGCCGAGTGGGGTGAGCTCCTCTTGGCATTGTGGCGAAGTGCATTCTACGATATAATACGAGCGCGAAAAAAGCGAAAAAACAACAACAACAAAAAAACATGAATAGGTGAAATCAAAAGTTGTGACACAATCAGTAGCTGATGCACGCATTTGTACATATGTATGTATAGCTTAAAGGTATTGCTAATGAATATGTGTTTATATATACATATATATATATATATAAATGTGTATGTGTGTATGGAAAATCGACATGTAAATATCTAAAGAATGTTAGCGTGTTTAAAAATAAAATTGGTGGTGGTTGTCTAAATATTTACAATTAATTCGAGGTGGAAAAAGAGACCAAATGTGTCATAGTATTGTTGTAATTATACAACAATAAAACATTTTAAAATGAAATTGCTATTGCAATTGATGGATGCACAACTGACTGACTGAATATTTCAAATTTTTAACATCCCCTCTAAGTGCACACACATACATGTGTATGTACACACATGCCTAGATATATACATATGTATGTATATCTACATATATGCATATATATCTACAGTTTAAATGCTAATTGTTGCATACAATTGCCGCGTTATTTTGAATTTTTTTTATGCTCAGCGCTTGCACACGTGCGCAGGAATAAACGAAAATGAACGCTTCAATGAACGAGTGATTGAGTGAACACGCGTTGCTATGCTTCCCCCCACCCGAAATATAAAAAAAATGTAAAATTTTAAAAATCAAACATGAAAAATACAAATGCTTTTCTGTGCGGAACTCTGCTTGAAGGCATCTGCCTGTGATGTCACGCAGTTGAGGCGTGGCCGTCGGGGCTTACGCGTCATTAAGGCAATTTCGGCAAATGATTTTTAAGGCTTGGTTGGCTCGAGCCATGAGTGACTCCGGCGCAGCAGAAGCGCAATTTTACGCTTTTGAGGGTTAGGCTAAAAAAAATGAACTTGCAAGCTGTTTACTTTCATACATACAAGCCAGATTTGTATATACATACATGTACTCGTATGTATGTGTTTGCATGTACTTCACTTTGACATTCCCGCATAAAGTGCAGTACTTTTCACGGGTTTGTATTCTTTTCATTAATTCTTCTTGTTTTTGTAAAATTATTCTTTCCCATATAGCTACGTATCTATTTACAAGTGGACGTATCTGTGTGCGTTTATATACGCGATAGTATTCATATCCTATAAAATGATTTGGCTAAAGTACTCAAGGAAGCTTTAAGAACAACGCCAGGCCACACATACACAACAGAAGCTGCGGGATCTGGGTTGGAGGGTTCTTATGCATGCACCTTGACATCGAATCTATGGCAAAAAGCAAATTATTAATTAGCGTCTATATCGAATGTATAATACTTACATATATTTGGGCGTATCTTGCGAAAATTTGAGGTTGATCGAAAAAATTGTTTCGGAAATATGAGCGTATTTGGTAAAAATTTTCTAACCGAAAGTAATCATCTTCCAAAATTTAAACGAGTTCTTTTTTAGAAACGCTGTTCTCAGAGTTGGTAAGGAATACTTCTCTGAAACGGCTGAACCGAACAACTTGAAATTTTCAAATTTCCACACGACTTTCTAAAATATATATTATTCAGGTAATGTTTGAAGAAATAAGATTTTTTTTTAAATAATTTCGATTTTTTAAGGCACTCTGACTTTTTTTAGGAAAAGCCCCTATTTTGTCAAAAATCAAAATTTTGACTAGTCCTTCGATCGTTACCTGTAATCATCTTTAGAATTAATAAAATTTTTTGGGTTTTGAATTTGATATAATTTTTTTTAGCTAATTTTCCTCACCTCCAGACATCTTTTTTCGGAGGTCCTCTTGGAGACCGGTTACGGAATTAAGGGAATCCAAAAATTTTCAAAATAAATCGCCGTTTATTAAAGTACATATGTTTCTAAAAAGCACATTTTTTGTTTATATTAAATAAAATGCCTCTTCAAAAAAAGTCACGAAAAAATGCGTTTTTAGTGACTTGCAGATAGGTATAACCCCTCATAGGACGTGGTGACTAACCTTTACCATTTTAGATTATTTACTTAAAAGGATTCGATTCTCAATTGTGATAAAAAAAAAGCAACCTCGATAGGTTCAAGGGACTCTTTTAAGTAAGAAAAAGAGTTTGGTATTAAACTAATCTAGATTTCTAGCATATTACTAACTGTTTTACTGCGCTGTTATTTCGACAAAATTTTTCAAAGTCATTTGAGGTTAGAATTTTAAAAATTTGAACAAAATAATAAGTAAACGGTAAAATGAAACACTCTGTGCTGCACTGGCTTATAAAAAAGGGGTTAAAAGCGCAATGAAGCATGAGATCATCGAAATAAGAGGAAACACGCATGTCCCGCACTTAAAAAATGCATGAAATGTACACGCTATTTCATATTTGAATGTCCTGCATCAGAACTAATCCACTTCTAGTGGACTTAACTTCTTTACTAGCACATTTTGTTAATATTTTTATTCACAAAACTATAACTCCCTGGGGAATCGGCTTTGAACTTCTACTAAATTTTCTCTACACTTAAATTATTATAAGGGTTATTATAAAAAATTATATTTTCTAACCTCAATTTACACTTTGATACATGCATACGGAAATATACGACAATTTTCTCAAAGGTATACAGGCGTAGCAGTATCGACATTTACTGGGTAAATGAGAGAGCTATAGGCAAATAAAAACTGAATCAAATTTCGATAAACTCCAGTATTTGGCGCACAGAAAATTTTTTTATATCAGTAATTGCTAATTTTGCATTAACCAAATTTTTTTTGTAACAGCCTCAAGTCGCTCTAAACTTTTACATTCTAAATACAATTCGAACTACTTTCGTAACTAAATTTATTTTCACAGATTGCCAACTCTTTTTCCTCACTTTTTACATACATTACATCACTCTATGTTTACAAGCGCCATATTTGTTGTTGTTAGCATTCACTGCTATGCGCAAATCATAAATCAATCAATTAGTGAACGTCAATTTGTTTATTTTATAATAGAAGCGAAACAATGACGCTGCGCAAATCTATTCATGTCAGTCGACCGAAATTAACTGCAGCCAACTTTGTGTGGGTCAACACAAGGTCAAAGCGAAAAAAGTTGTTAGATACTATATAAGATATATAAGTATATGAGAATTTTTATTGGTAAATATGCTTCTCAAAAAGTTTTCCGTTTAGGCGCCTAAAATGATACTACACTAGTGCACGAGTATATACATAGATTTATTTTCTATGAGATATGTACCCAAATATAATATATGACTATCGCATAAGCAAAAGTTTCCAGTAAACTCCAATATTACCATTATTCCCATATTTCTGCTGTTATGTCGTCATACCTGCGCTTCGAGTCTTCAAGTAATATTACATTCTGTTAATATAATACACTTGAAACGAGTATAATATATATAGAAACGATAGATTCACTAAAGTGCCAGTACAAAACTTCAAAAATTCCGTTTGGATACTGTAATAAGTTCAACATCTACTTAACCAACTTTGATCTCCTTATACTAAATATACATATGTGATAGAAGCAACAAGTCCTCGCCTAACACAAACCACTTATCTTTGCATGGTCCTTTAAATTTGCACATCTAATCTTATATCATATCTCTTCTTATCTCTAAACTCATCGAAATGGCCATCGATGAACGCCTTCTATTTCCAACGAATAAGCAGTATTTGTGCGGCTGCAACAACAGCAACATCAAAAACTTTGAGATCTAATACTTTTACTTTTTCCTTGGATAGATAAACCCATGGGCTATTTCTTTCTTAAAAAAGCTACTCATAGCATTCATTGAACATATGGCGGCGCTCATAAGCATAACAACACGCTAGACTTCTCTATTTCTATTTACCAGTACAATACTTCAGCTTTATTACAGAGTTGGTCAGCTCTGCAGACTTCAGAGCAGTGTTTGCATTTTTTTTTGTTTTAAATATAACAAATTGAACCCATATATTTTTTTTTTAAATTGAAATTTCTTTAGAAATCTAACTAGAGTGGCAACTCTGTTTTTATGACTGCTTAAATGCAAGACTCAAAATAATGCTCTAAGTGAAAGAATGCAGTGTAGTGATGGTTCTTAATGTCTAATATTTTTAAATCAGGTGGGCAACCTCATAAAATAATAGTTTCTGTATTAGAATTATAAAATATTATTCGCCTAAAGCTAAGTATGCCAAACAAAATTCCAAAATTCGATTATAAAATACTTGGCTTTTCGTTATCAGTGCCAATGTTGCCAGCGGACAAAATAAAAGCAAAATTAAAATACTCGAGCATTATATTTAAAATAGATTACAACCGGTCTCCAGTGAGCGTTTGAACTGCGCTCTCCATCGAAAAAACTTGAAATAAAATAGCGGAATGCTGTTATTACCAAATTCAGTATTCATTTATCGCTGCTTGTGATGTGAGCAAAGAGCAGAACAAAAACAACAACGCCTAAATTCAACGGCATAATTTGCGATTAATTGAAATACCGAGCCACTTGTACATTCACCTCTGCCAGCCAGTTGGCAACGCTTCTAACCGTAGCAGACGTCAACGTAGGAAGTGCAGCAGCCCGTGCGCCCAACTGCCGGTGTGGGCGCAGCACCCGAAGCAGCCAGCGCACAATAATCACAGACTAGACTGAGCGACTCGATTGCTAATGCGGCGGGAGACCTGCTAACAAAGTCGAGTGCTTGTCGTGTGCAGCACTGCCAGCCAATGGCATAACATAATTTGCCAACAAAGTCGGCTGAATGTAGTCAGACTAATTGCATTGTCACCGCAGGTTTCTAACTTAACCACATGCTCGAACTTCCATTAAAAATACACACACACACCCACACACATACATACATGTACACAGATAGCAGAAAGACTCAACTGGTGTTGGTGCGCTCGTGTGCAGAACATCCGGTGATTTGCGACGGCACAGACACCTTTCGGTTTACAGGTGTTTGTGCAACAACAACAAAAGAAGAAAAAAAGAAGTGTACAGCGTAAAATAGAAATGCGATAGGCTAGAATTGCTGGGCAAAGAGTGGAGTGTAAAGTGATTAGTTAGATTGTTGTATTTACCTGTATCCTGGAGCTGCTTGGCCGCGCACTCAGCACATTCGGCGCACTCGGTGCAAACGCCAAGCGAGTCGTCGTCAGGCGAATGTTGTTGCGTCTGTTGATGATGTTGTTGCTGTTGTTGGTGGAGTTGTTGCGCTTGCTGCGCTATTTGTTGCTGCTGTTGTTGCTGTTGATGTTGATGATGTTGGCTGAGCGTTGCACTGCCAACTGGTGGCGGCGGTGGCGGAATCTGATTGTTGTTGCGCGCAGCCAACATGGCGGCGCGTTGTTGCTGCAATCGCTGTATGACCTGCAGCTGTTGAATGTGCTGTGCACCGAAAATGTGACCGCTTAGCGCGCCGCCGAGCGAATTCTTCAAGCCATTGTCCTTGTAGCCGTCGGGTGGGCTTAGTGCGGCCTCGTCAACGAACTCAATCGGTGGCGCATATTTGGGACTCTGTCAGAAAGAAAAAAGGCGACAACGAAATATGTCAAAATGTTAATGTGTAGTTAATAAATAAAGGAAATTTATAAAAATATATATTTTATTATTGTACTCGTATATTTAAATCCAAATCAGAATAAATTCACTCTGAATGCTTCTAAATATCTAAATAAGTCCACTCGTCTGGTGTTGGCATCGTTCTAAGGCATATATTATGGGTCTGACCCGATAAGTAACTTTTTATTATTAAGTGTGGAAGTTGTTCCTCGAGAGAATAGATTTTTTTTCCAATTGCCTCGTTAATCTAAACACATGAGAACAATAATGATTCTAGGTGTGATTTCAAAACTGAAATTACTCTTTAAAACAGCGCAAGAATATTTGTTGTAACATTTGCAGCAGCAGCTTTTACCAGACTACAGTGGCTTTTTGAGTGATCTATTGAAAGATATGTCGAACTCACTGAAACCCTATGAATTTAATTTGAATACCAAAAAAGTATGTATTACATAACCTTAATATAAATCCATACCAAAACTATACTATCAAATAATATTGGGTCTAAAATATAATATATCCAGTTCTGTTGTTAACCATATTTCAGTAAGGGCGTTCTACATCGACCGGAGCAAATAGTAGTCAGAGGTAGTAAGGTCTTTTTTTAACGGCCCTATGACATGAGTACGAGCGTAGCCAAGACGGCAAATTATTGCCTCCTGTTTAGTTGCAAGTGCTGGACGGTTTTCGGCAATCGCTTGCTTAAAGTTTTTGGGATATTTTTAGTAGCGTGCCCCATTAAAGATTTCATTCGGTTTTAGAAGCTAATAATAGAGGACCCCTTTCTGATGCCAAAAAGTAATGAAGAAGAGCTTCCCGCAAAATCACTATTAAGGCGCAAAGCTCGACAAATTTGTTTTTAGAATTGTAAAGCATGTTCGAAATATTGGAACAATCGAATAAAAATCAAGTTAAGCCATTTCTTTGCAAGCCGCATGAATATAGTTAGATTAAGGATGAAAATATTAAGTTATTTTGGTAGGCGACGTTATTGGTATAGCTCTGAAACTTGATATTTTCCTCCAATCTCCAAATAAACCGAGTCATGCGATCATTATCCGATCGTTTCGTATCGTACTGACTTCCATTCTAAAGCTTATATGACGACATTATTCATTTATTACAGCTGTATGTACCAATCACCAAAATTTAGTGTCTAATAAATATATAGTGGATGACTTTTCAGTATTTAATATAACCCAAAATTCCCGATAAGAGTTCTTAAACAATTTCTAGCATAATTTTTTTTTTAAATTTTTTAGAGGAGTAAGTACATGGTTATCATATTTCATGTTGAATTTCAATTAACAATGTTATAAGTCGGAAGATGTTTTTAATAAGCATTATTGAATTTTTGAAGCATTGCTCCAATGCCAATATCGAAACTCTTTATGTTATGCAGTCAGTGAAAATATTTTTGTCAAATTAAACTATTCGGAGAGGACTTAAGATTTGTGAGATCTCACATTTACAGATTCACATCAAGATATGCAAGATATGATATGTGTCTCTTTCAAGATAAACCATATCTTGAAAAGACGCAAGGTGAGAGCGACAAGTTTCTATTAATTCCATATTTTCCGAAGACCTATATTTAAGTATCAAAGAGTTGGGTAATTCTGGAATTCTAATCTCTAACATTTGTAGGATCAAAAACATTGTGAGAGTTTCGATTGTTCATTGTTTTAACGACAAGAAAGTGAGCCACCTTTCCCGCCATACCCTATACCATATACGAATACTCGCATACAAACAAATATCTTTAATGTTGTGTTTGCCAATGTTTGCTTAAGTGTTAGTTGTTAGGCATCTGTGACCGGAAAATTAGGATTTCCTGTCAGGCAATTACAGTCGTATGAATTTTTGATGTTCTTCGCTGTTACTTGACGGCGGCCAGGCCCCTCTAATGGTGTTACTCTGCGACACAATGTAACGGCGAGGGCGATGTTGATGATAACAATGGGAGCGCTGTTACGGCCGCCAACGCCAATATACCAAATGTATGCATGTATATATATATGGTATGTGCTTTCGTAACTGAGAACGCGCTGAAGTCATTGTACGACATTTCGCTTAGCAGGCGGATGAATGGCAACAAATACGCCTCTAAAGCGTGTGAGAAATGCGGTGTGAGCGATGTGCCAGCCAAACTATTGTACAAGGCACACGTCGATATACATACATACATACACTCATACAAATTTTACTTGTCTTGCAAAGCTCATACATATGTACAGCCATACATACATATATGTATATATGTACACGGGTATATATACTATACACCAATATAATGGCTTAAACGTGTTGGTCAAAACTTTTTTGCACTACTTTTCTGCCATTTTTGTTCGACTCCGTGTACATGAAAAGGGATTGCAAAGTGGCTTGGCTCTAATGTTTCTACTATTTGCTTTGAATTGTCGTTGAATTGGTGACTGCGCTTTGCATCCCCTTCACCATTAAATATTTAACTTTATTTGCAGTTACTTGACTTGAATGATTGTCATGCTGTTATAAGTGCATACATGCATACATACATATGGTATATATTATATTTGTTCATACGCATACAATCATATAATATATATTATGTTTGTTTATAATATATAATTTTATTTGCATTAAATAGAATGAAGATGAAATGCGAAAAGCCTTTCAATTACATAATTTATCAATAAGTCTACGTTGCCGCTTTCGTTGGAAAGTAAATGTAAATACTAGCATTTTACTTATTCTATTAACTTAACCTTTTAATGATTGCATGGGCTCACGATACTTTCATCATTTAAGGTTATATCACATTTTCTTGACCTAAGAGAACTCGGAAATACCAAGTGAAAGTGCAAAAAATAAATACTAAGAACAAAACAACAAAAATTATCAATAATATTTTTAGTGTTTGGGAACTATAAGCAACGTTAGAATCCTGTTTCGGTGAATTGATTGCAATGGACTACTTTGGCAAAATATCGGTAATATTTAACTATTTCTCGCATGGCGTAGCTTCTGAAGGTGCTGGACTCACATAAGCTAACACAGCCATATAATACTTTGTTTTGAATAAACAAAAGTCGTTGTTTGTTCTTTGAAAACACCATTGCACTCAGTGATGGCTAGTATGCCTAACTCTTAGCTGCCTAAGTTCTTGATAAGTTGATCGTTCAACAATTAATATTCAAAATGAGAGCCTGAAACACACATTATATATGGCAAACTCTACCTTATTGAAGGAGAAAATACAAAAAATTCGAATAACGAGTTTGCTGGAAATTTTGTGTTTCCAACGGAATCTTTGAAAAAGTTCCAGAAGTGTTTAGGTGAGTATATTTTATCACAAAACACAAGTAATTGAGTGGCATAGCGCACTCAGTGAAGGCCGTGAAGTCATCGAAAACTTGCCTCAAGCGAGTCGTTCATACACCTTGTCTCATGTCGATAACATCGAGAAAGTTAGAGAAATAGTGCTTGAAAATCGTTGTGTAGGCATCAGAGATATATAAAAGTATCTCAATAACTTATATACATCAACTCAACCCATTTTGGTTAATGCATTGGGTATGCAGCGTGGCAATGCTGGTCTTGTACCAATATAACTAATTTGTTTGCAAAAACGATATTGAGTAGAGATCGCAAAAGAAATACTGAGGACACTACATTCAGCAAATGCATCATTAGTGAGAACGAGGCATGGTTTTATGAATATGACCGTCCAACAATCTAGGGAATGACGCTCCAAAAATAAACTAAAACCGAAAAAACCTAAATTCACTGAAGGCACTGAAAGCCTTGGATTAAGCGTTGGCATGATTGTATGGGCTCAGGAGCCTATTTTGTAGGCGATAATAAATATTTGCAACAAAATACAATGCCTAATAACACATGACAATGTATGTAAGTAATGGGCACATGGTTCTCATTCCAAAATGTGGACTTTTTTGCACCTGATTTTTATTTTATCTTAAATAGATTTTTGGACGGAGCAACGATTAAAATATTTTATGAGATATTTGATGGCATCAATATTGCAGGAGGTTTCCTTAGTTATTATGTAAAAAATTGACTTCCTTCGAAAGACGAGACCGAGTTGAGATACTGCAGATTGGTGATCTACTGAACTCCAACCCTTTTAATCAAATTAGTCGTTATACAAAGAAAATATCTAATCTGCTTTCATAATATTACAAGCATAGCTGAAAAAAAAACAATAAAGCTTCAATTAATTTACATTTACAAGTAAAAAAAAAATATATAAATATATTTAATTTGTATAAATTTAATGCATCTCGCAAAACAATTATTATCTCATTGGAAATAATTGGAAATTACATTATATGACCCAGCATAGCAAAAATTGGAAAAGCATAAGAGTCACCTGATGTGGTAATAATTTCATATACCGACACACTAGCAAACAGAACCACCTGCAAATTTATGCACTAGACAAACCAACAAACAAATTTTAACGAGCATTATGTGACACTAATCGTTGTGATGGAATGTCAAATGTCAATAGATGCGATGCATGCCAAATTGTGATAAAGCAGATTCGCTCATTTATTGCACACATCATATGAACATACATATATATCTAATATTATATTATGTATGTATGTATATATGGTACATATGTATGGTTATGCAGTCGAGTGTACAGAAAAACCTATGCTGATTTCTAGTGCTCTCTATATCTTATGCAAATATGTAGGTGTATAAATATTTGTAAACGCCTGTGAAAATGATTTTTAGCTTTTATGAGCTGGCAGAATTTGTAAGAAAATCAGAGGTTATTTTGTTACCCTTGGCTCACTGGATAAATGTAAATTATTAATATACCATACATACATGTCTACATATATGTAAAAATACAAATACGCTTGTTAAATTTCAACAATAATTAATTAAGAAACCATACTTTTTCACACTCACAGAAAATTTTCACACAATCAGTGTTGCCA